AATAAAAAATACTAATCAAAGTAAGGATTAGCTGTAACTTTATTTAGTACAATCTGCAAAATCAACTGGAAATCTTTAGACAATATGAAGAGTTTTATTGACAAACGGCGAAACGGGCCCAGGTAAATCTTCTTGTACCCAAGATCTTTTGAAAATAAATATAAAGATCTTGAAAGAAGGGAGCCAAGATTTTGTTTTAAGATCTTAAATAGAAAATCTTTTCTATTTTCTTTTTATGTATGATGGCTATAGTGGTCAGACATACGATCAATCGTTCGTAACCTCTTTCACAAATGAGAAGGTTCAAAAAGTCAAAAAAGTGAAATTATTTGCATTTATTTGCAAACAAAACGATGATTCAAGAATTACCAAAATCCTGTTTATAAAAAGTCAAAAAATCTTCATCTACATCTTCTACCGCGCGCTCAAAATCAAAACAACAATATTCGTCGAAAAACATATGCCATTAATGAACGTCGTGCATCACTAAATCCTGACACGGTTGAGGATACCTTGTTAGTTAGATCAGTTCAGAAATTCCTTGAACAGAAACCAAATTTTTTTACTTAGATATTTTGTTTCGTTATCTGCCACTTTTTTTTTCATCTTATGTTACTATTATTTGTACATTTTGTTTATTAAAAAATTACCAGGCTTCTACAGGCCAGGCCAGGCTAGGCCGAGAGCAATGGCAAGCAGGCAAGACCCAAGCCCAAGAAACATATCGACAGGCTCAGGCAGATCTAAACATTACAGGCCTGATGCAGGCAGACCAGGCCTCAAAAGTGTCGGCCTGTTTCGAGCTCTGATATATACTTAGTACTCATGATGTTAGTTTATTTTAACCATATTTTATTTCATCATGTTATTTCGCTGTAATCGGTAACTTTCAAAACGGATCATTCAAATAATAATAGAGAGAGGCAAGTATATTTACCTGAAAACTAGATTCCTGGACAAAAAAAAGGCAACGAAAAATAAAGAAAGAAGCTACGCACCTTTTGCATCATAAATAAAAAAATGATTCTTAATCGAAACTGTATTATGGATTATTACAATATGAACCCACATGACTAATAGTCCTAACCCTGTGAATATCATGTGTGATCGATCGGATACCTGTGAAAGTGACGCACATCGCTAGCTGCCCCTTATTATCCAAAACAATTTCTTTTATTTTCGCCAATCTTTCGCACGTTGAAAAACAAAATGATCTTTTCTTTAAAATTATTTCAGGCGAGAAGCACTGCCGGTGATTTAAAAACATCTGAAAGGCTTTTCTTCTATTAAAACTACGTATTCTTTTCGTTTTGGATACAGTAGGAAGAATATCTAAGAAATAATGAAAACAAAACACTGTATTCAAAAGAAGTGAAATAAAACATTTTTCCTTCTTAGCACACAACAAAAAAGTACTATATATTACAATATTTTTCTTAATTTTCTTTTTCGAACAATCAACAGTTATGAACGGCAGAAATTTCTTCTTTTTTTTCCTGCTACGTTCATAAGGACATAAGTGATGATTTAAACTTAATAATAATAAGGATGATAAAAAACATCCATATAGTTTTCTAACTCGTAGTTAGAAGCAGACAGGAACAGTGATAGTAATAATATTCATTCATCAAGTGAATCATTCTTGACGAAAACTGTCGAATCAACGCTCATTAAAGCAATCCGATATTAACTTAACATCAGATGTTTTGTTCGTAACTAAAAATGACGATACAACCTTAATATGGTTTGCTGATTGTAATATTGATCAAAACATAAAAAATCAATGTGAACAATTACATGATGATTGTCTTCAATGTCTTAATATAACCGAACTAACTGATTCTGTTACCCATATTGTTGATAAAAATATTTTTTTTATTATATTCGGTCAATATTCAGAGGAAACTTTACGATTATTTCATGACAACGAAAAACTCGATTCGTTTTATATCATTTGTATAAATAAACAAGTGTATCAATGTACTGGATTGAAATGATTGTCGATGACACCGGGATCAGTTGTTGAAGTAATGCCGTAGTAATAATGTTGCCCGTCGAGCTTGTCTGCGGTAGACTGCAATTGTCGTCGTCATTTTTGGAATTGTCCACCATATGACTGATTCCACCGCGGATGTTTCTTGTTCCGATGGCTGTTGGCTGGGTGCTGTTGCAGGCGGAGAAGAGACGGATGGATTCCACCAAGGCCTGCACCAATCTTGCCACATTTAGCTATTATCGCCGCTGCTTTCACTGCTTTTGTCAGTGATTGATAGTAAACGTCTATAATCTAACAAACTACAATACCCATTAACACTGTAAGGAATATTTCTTCAAGTGAATATTTTACTTTGGTTGGAACATTAGGTAGATGTAATAGTTGTTGTATATTTTGTTTTAGTGTGATTTTGTTGCTCTTTCATATTCCTCTCAAAACATAAAAGTAAAACTGTCAGGAGCCCATTCAGGTGCTGCGTAATCACTTTAGGAGGTGGGGTTGACCGAAGATTACGTCCATGTTTTACTCCATACTCGGAGAATGAGTAGAATTTAGAAATGATCATCTAAGAATAGGGAGCGGATTGAAAATCATTGGAAAATTGATTAAGCCATAATTGCATGACCAGGAAACTTGGTAGAATGTAAGTTAGACTGCCATAGATGAATTACGGGTAGCTCTCCTGATGGCTTTCTGTCTTTTTTCCCGCAACTAGCCTCATGTCTTGGCGAAGCTGTTTTAAAAGATTGGTAGTTAACCAATTAATTTAACTTTTTATTTCTCTCTCTCTGCTTCATCAAATAACAACAACCCAAAACGACCCGCTCTCTTCTATATTCGATTTTGAAATTTCAAGCGTCACATAAGAGTAATTCAGAGTTAAGATACACGGTGATAGTAAAAATTCACTGTCTCCACATTGTCGCACAATCTTTTACTTTTTCATTCTGCAACGTGTTTTTACAAGGTTACAATTTCACTGGAAAAGACGAAAACATTTACGCATAAAAGGTGACGCTTGTTTTTTTCCGTTGTGAAATATTAAGAAAAGTGAGTCAGTGCAGTGAAGTCGTTATATAAATATAGTAGTATTTTATTCTCTTCTTATACAGTCAAATTAATCAGAATTACTTCTTTAACATGAAGCAATGACGAAAACTGCTTGCAGTTCGCCTTTAACAGACATGCGTCTGTTTGCTGTTGAAATCAACCTAATTGTCTATGATACTTACCGATACGAAGGAGAATCTCGAAACGGTTTTCGGCACGGTGAAGGTCGATGCATTTATTCAAAGTCGGAGTGCTGCGAATGGACAGGGCAGTGGACAAATGACCAGTGGCGCATAGGTACTCTGCTATATAGAACAGGAGCTCTGTGTTCTGGGGTATGGTCGGGAAGTAAAACCCATGGTATGGTTGAAACCCATTATGGATCGACGTTTGAAGGTGAATGGATCGACGATGGTGTTGAGCATGGACATGGCATCGAGACATTTATCGATGGAAGTTGTTATTGTGGCATGTATATATTAGGCGATAGACATGGACAGGGAACAATGACTGAAGCAGATGGAACTCGATTTGATGGTATTTGGTACAAGAATATTTTGTTTATCGATGATGTCAATATCTCTTTCTTGATAAACACCATAAAGTTAAGCAAAAAGGTTTATAACGACGTCTCCCTTCTGTCTCAGCGACTTCAAATAGTTATAAATCTTAAAGCATTTATTTTTGATCGTATAGAGGCAGTCTGCCATCGTCCTGGAACCCTATCAACCACATTAGAGACGATATTAAAATGTGCGTCACCGCAGTACATTAACTCTTTCGTTAACGATTTCGTTCGCTTTGAGCCTGAGCGATGGAATATACTTATTCTGGCAGCAAGAAATGGATTCTATAATGTTGTTGAAATACTCTTGAAGAAGTTCAATGTGAATATTGAAATAGAAGGTTGTGTTGACTATGACAGTATTTTTATTAACGGAGCCACTGCTTTATGGTGTGCGGCCGCATCTGGTCATCTAAATATTGCTGAGCTATTGGTTCGATACGGAGCTGACGTGAACCATCACACCCGCACTAATTCAGGTCCATTGAGAGCGGCATGTTTCGATGGTAAGTATAAAATAGTGAAGTTTCTTACTGAACATGGAGCGAATGTAAATCTGAAAAAAGTTGATGGGACCACCAACCTAATATTGTCAGTATATTACGGCCATTTGAATGTTGTTGATCTCCTACTCAAAGCAGGCGCAGACCCAAATATAACGGACTATACCGGTTGCCTAGCTCTACATTATGCATGTGAACAAGGTCATTTGGATATTGTTAAACTGCTGCTTGACGATGAATCAAGGAGAACACAAAATGCATGTGGACATACACCACTGATGACGGCTGCTATGCATTCTCAACCCTTGATAGTTGAATATTTAGTCTCGCATTGTTCATACGTGGAGTATATTGAGGCTTTAGAAATATTAGCTGCGTCATATTGCAATGATGGCGTTGACGATTTTGAGCAAACGTACAAGTTTTTGCTCAAAGCTATGCAGTTAAGATACGCTGACCCGCTTGCACCGGTTGTAAAACCCATACTACCCGTTATAGCCGCTTATAACGATAGAGCAGAATGCCAAACTATCGATCAGCTAGAAAATATTCGCTATGATACAGAAGCTCTACGCATAGAAACTCTACTTATCCGAGAACGAATATTAGGTGTTCATAGCAATGCACTTCACTACTCCATCCGACACAGAGGTGAGACGTACCGTGACGCAAAGAAATTTGATCAGTGCCTTAAGCTTTGGCTAAGAGCATGCGAGTTGAAACAAATAACGGTGAAAAAGTCATTAGAAAAAGATATGAAATGTTTTGAAAGTTTGTTTATGGATATGCTCGCGCAGCAGATTAAAATATCAACTGATATTCTTGCGCAAGTGTTAAATATTATCATTGAAGAGGTACAAAGAAATAGGCAAAGAATTAAGGGTTGCCTCATTGACAAAGAAAAGAAGCAACAAGAAGATGAATATGAAAGCAATTGCTACACGTCGCTGTATATGGTAGCTGTTATAGCAAAGGTACATAAAGCAAAGGTTAATATACGAAGAAGAAGAATACCCTGCCTTGCGGCCACCGTTATCGGTATAGGAGGCTGCCGAGTGGCAGTTTCATTAGCACGATATCGTTCCTGCATAGGGGTGTCACTGTTCTTTACCAAGTGAAAAATAATAAAACTTATTAGTTATTATCAGGAAACAAGTAATAAATCTTATTACCTTATTACTTATTACTCTTTTCAAGATAATAATCTATTTTTACTTTACTTATTACTAATAATAAGAAAAGTAATAAAAAGTACTAAGTAAAATAAAAAAAAATTATTGCATGACGGCGTAATAAGTAACAAAACAACAAGATTTATTATCTTTTTACCGGTAATAAGTAACAAACGCTTATTACTTTTACCATAGAATGTAATAATTAGCAAAAGTAAAGTAGCACCTCTATTCCTGCAGTTGACAAGCTCCTGAAATGATCATCCCTCTTACTACTAGTCATCAACTGCAGCTTTGACTAGAAGGCTAGACTGACGCAGAATTATTCTGCCCAACTACTTGTGCTCCCCATACACACTCACCAACTACGTACTAGCTTTCCGAAAAGCCAAGAGGACTAGCCGGAGAACTTTATTGTACGTCGTAACGTAGTGCGTATGCTATCGCAAGGGTGATCTGAGACACCAAGACCTGAGTAATTTGCCCAAGTTTATTACATGACTTTGTCGGCGCCGAGGTTCGAACACAGTACTTTTGAATTAAAGGGATGGACACATTAGCAGACCCGGGGTCTTCTAATGTGTCGTATCGTTCACAAAGTTTAGGGGGGGGGGGGGGGGGTGGGTGGTGGCCCCTTTGAAAAGCCATTTTT